AAATGTACGAAAATGGCTCGATAGCTGGTTCGCTTCAAAAGAAGAAATGTTTTTTTGGCGTGGCATTCATAAACTGCCGGAGAGGTGGGAAAAATATATAAATAGCAATAAATAGCAGAGACGACTAAATCCTGGTAATAAAAGATAACAGAGGCGATAAAGTCTTTATCGATAAGGATCTCTACTGTCAACAACTGGACCGTTTGAAGCTAGCGATTGACCAGAAACGGCCAGAATTTGCCAATAGGAGAGGTGTTGTGTTCCATCATGCCAGGCCACACATGTCTATAGTGACTCGCCAGAAACTCCGGGAGCTTGGTTGGGAAGTTTTGATGCATTCATCATATAGTCCGGCACCAAACGATTGCCATGTTTTTCTTGCATTGCAAAACTTCCTTAGTGATAAGAAATTGGCATCAAGAGAAGATTGTGAAAATCGATTACTAGAGTTTTTCGTCAAAAAGGACCAAGACTTCTATGAGAGAGGCATTATGAAGCTACCTTTAAAATGGCAACAAATTATAAAACAAAACGGTGCATATTTGACCCAAATCGGACAATCCGAAACATGTTAAATAAAGTCTTGAAGTTCACGTAAAAATAATGGATTTTTTTTTCCCCAACCTAATATTACATCAATAGAGCATTCCTCTAATATTAAAAAATATTACATAACATTCCTAGAACATTACAAGAATATTATTTTAATATTTAATAATATTCATATAATATTCTAGGAATATTACGTGCTTATAGAATAGATAGAGAGAGAGAAAAGGGGAAAATGGATAAGAAAAAAGAGACAAAGATAAATAGAGAGAGAGAGAGAGAGAGAGAGAGAGAGAGAGAGAAACTTGTAAGTCGATGGCTTTCGACCGTGGAATGTATATTAGTCGTTTGTAATTACATATACATTCTACAATTCACGCAGTACAAGCAATCGCAGTCGCGCAATCTCACGTCTTTTAAACAGATTGATTTTCAACGGTACACAGAACATATCATTTGGAACGTTATTTCATTATTGCTAAAAATATCCACTTTCGCGCGGCTGTATTTTCATCTATGTCAATACGAGAACGTACTAAAATCTATTCAAACGTAATTCTCGCGGCTTTTAAGTCAATTTTCTCTGTAATGAGATTTTCTTGGTCACAAAATTATCGACGGCTGTTAACTAACTATTAATATCTAAACATATTTATGTATATTCCGACTTATAATAAAACATATTCTTCGCTGAATATCTCAGAAGGACAAAATGTTCGTTAATAACATAATTTCGACCGAATGGTACTTTGATTATCCATTCTAAATACATGTAACTTATATGATCTAATGAAAATATTGCCACTTTAACCTTGAACTCACCTCAAGAAATGTAAAAAGTACAAGTAATGACGGGAAACTTCATTGTCAAGTCAGGACCTTTGTTTTTTAAATTTCTTGGCGTGGAATTTCACTTAAAACAAGTAAAAAGTGACTATATTTTCACTCGAAGCAAGAATGAAAATACTGTTACATTCAATTGCAAGAGTGAATGTATCACTCAATTTTCGAGAGCGAATTCCAATTCTATACGAGTAAATGTTTCAATTGATTACAGTGATTTGTGTTCTTGACGATGGAATACATCTAATTCACTCTTCAGTTTCGGGTGAAGATATTCAGTCGACGATTAAGAGTGTAAAATTCTCTCTATACGAATGAAAAATCGTCCGAATTTGAGTGACTTGGTTGCCACTCTACCTTCCGACTAAAATTTCACTCCAAGAAATTTAGAGAGTACATTTTCTCGCTCTTTTATTACCTGCCACTCTGTCACTCTGGCATACTTGAACAATCCAATACGTTCAAGTCTGATCTATATCGAAGTAATCTTACGTAATAAAACTTAATCTGAACGTCATTTTACTCTTATCTCCAGCACAGTGTATCTTGATACATCTCGATTCATCTAGACTGCGGTCCTGGCACACTTCCGGTATATTCGCGATATTCACATCTGAGAAGTGAGCGAGCGAATGAGTAAGTGAGTGAGTATATAATAAAATCTTATGGAATCGCAGACGAATTTACGCAGCCGATGAATAGTCAGAATGAAAATAGCGGTATAAATTTCTCATGCATACGTGTGTGTGCGTTATGAATTACGCACGTGCATTCATTGCGCACACGGGATGCCACGCCCCTGTTACAGGACGTTCATAATTTATTTGGAGTTGGCAGTTGGCACGGTTATCATCACATAACAAACACTTGTAAAGCCTCGTAATACGGCTGCAATCGGCCGGGGCGAAGATCGAACCGAGTCGTACGTATCTCGTTTGCAATTAGCGGTCGACACACGCGAAACGAGCTAGTGAACGAACGTGCGCACGCGTATGTGTGCGTATAGCTACGTGGGTGCACTTGATACGCATTCGCACGTTAAACACACACGTAATACAGTAATATTTACGCTTCGGTGCAATTAAGCGACCGCGTCGGCTCTCCTCCCCCCCTCCCCCAACCTCCTACCTTCCTTCTCTTCTCCATCTCCCCCTCGCCTTGTCCCTCTACTTCCCCTTTTCTCTTTCTTCTCTTCTCTTCACACCCCCGCGCATTATTTGCGTTACACCGATCTCGCAAGGATCGAGTCGCATGCGTGTACTGAAATATCGAGTGAAACGATTGCACAGTCAATTGAGTGTCGATTATTATTCGAGGAAAGGCCACCTTCGGCGGGTTTGCGGGTGGTCGCGGAAATATGACGTACGACGCGATAATTCTTCCGTTATTCACGAAGAGAGCAGGTGCTATTTTGACATTTCTGACTCGGAGATTTATATTTGAATAATTTTTCTTCGGCTAATTATTCTTCTGTCTTGCGACAATAATGATATAGTTTATTTTAGATGTTAGGCTAATTATTTTGTTTCCTCACCAATGAATAGTTGGATATTCATAGGTTTCGCATTTCGTCATTTTTTCGAATGAAGAAAAATTACTGTTTCTCGCAATTACCATCGCTAATTCTCTGATAGAAATTTTATGCATTTTTGAACAGTTATACCAGGTGTAGAAGTATGAAACCGGAATTTCCCTACAGATGGTGCTAGCCATCAGTTTAGGGACCGTAAGACCGCTTCTGCAGCGCCATCATCTCCCTTTAACAGCTGACGAAGATTTTCAACACACAACAACCCAAGTTCCATACACCGGTATATTTTTCTATAATCTTAAACATGTCGAGTTTTGTGCCTACGAACTACGATTTGCGGACAGCATTGGTTTTTTGTTATCATGTGAAGCTGCGCATCGAATGCTTGTCGAAGCTTACGGTGAACATGCTCTTGGTAAAACACAGTGTTTCGATATAGTTATCATGATGTTGTTCGAAAAGAAGCATCTGAGACATTGCATCCTTTTTGCACTCCAATTGAATAAAAATACTGCTCAGTTTACCAAAATGATTTGTTTCGCTTTAAGTGAAAGTGTTGTGACCCATAAAATTTGTAAAAAGATCTTTTACGGCAATGGAATTAGGCAGATGATTCCGTTGCACGATAACGCGTTATTACATACCGCAAACATACCGCATACATACCGCAAAAGGGACGAAGGATATCTGCCACATGCGGCTTATTCGCCAAATCTCCCGTCGGATTACTATCTATTTTGATCGCTTCAACATCATCTGGCGGATTCGCATTTTAAAACATTGACGGGGTTCGAAAAAGCATTGATGAATTTATTGAGTCAAAACCGTCAAGTTTTTTCCGCGAGGACATTCATCAGCTACCCAATAGATGGAGTAAAGTTATAGAAAATAATGGAAATTATTTCGAACATTAAACTTCTACTTTATTTTTTATAAATAAACTTTGAATTTCATGAAAAAGATATAATTAATTTATATACCTATTATTTTTATCATAGATAAAAAAATTTTTGAAGGTAGGTCAATTTGCTGTTCTTATATAGGAATAAAAGAACGAAATAAGTTAATATCATTTTATTTCGCATAATATTTTAATGAAAAGTTGTAAAAATTTAAGAAAAATATTCCTTTGTAATGTGTCGCTTCTGTCTACTTATTATTTTAGAAATGATTTCTTATTACAGTGTAATAGAATGTTAAATTTTGTATTTAATATTTTTTAATTTTCTTATATTTTTAGAGAAGTATAATAACTTAAATATTAGCAGATTATACTCTTTTTAGGGGATAACATAAATATTTTTCGTCCTCATCGCTTTATTCAGCGCCATTCGTTCCCGTTCTGTCGACGTTAGACTAAACGTGCTTACATTAGCTGATTTGCGACGACGAATATCGAGTTGCTACTTTTGCATCCGCTTCTTTTTTCTCTCTTTCTCTCTCTATACTATCGCTAACTTATATTTTTCCATTCGTGATGGTATATAAAGGCTTATTCAGACAGCTTAAATTTTCAACTCAATATTACTTCGAGATGCTCTACCAAAATCGTATTACATATTTTATATAGAAATTGTTAAGAAGCACGAAATATGACATTCTCAACACAAGTTAATACATATAATTGATCAACACTGTTACTAAATCAGAAAATTTCAATGTTTATTCGATTTTATATTATAAACCAGTTTTTAAAATTTGAGAAAATATATCAATGCTCCGATAAAAAGAAGTTTTAAAAAATTAGGTATTCGAGATCTTACGTAACGGCTTGAGTATCGTACATTCTAAACGGGCCTTAAGACACGTTCATTATGTCGCGACGATGCTGACGATGCACAACGGTGACGACAACGACGATGTTGACGGTTGCGACCAACCGTTGAAATCAAAGACGATCTCGAAAAATGATTCATGATTCAACGAACGAAAGCGCATTCATGTGACCGCCTCAGTTCGTCTTCTCGTCTCGAGCCAGGTGGTTCGTTGTTCCTCAACGGTGCCCTCTTCACGTTACAACATTTTGTCATCGATTGCGTTGATCGCGATGGTGATTATTTCATACGTCTTGTCAACAATCTCAGAAATTATTTCGTGACACGCGCACGTGGGTAGAATTCTTCGTTAAATTCCAGGTATCTGTTCTCTCGCACCGGGAAGAAGACTTTGGCGTCTCTACCACGATTGGATAATTATTAATTGGATTTTTCCTTTCTTTCTTTTGATCAATCGATAGGCTCGTGTTTCATTGCTGGCAACAATCGATTGACTAACGTTAAGTGCAACGATGAAAGTGCTGAGGTTTCCACATCCGTACAGATATCCGTGTTTCCTCTTCATCGTAGTCGTCGAGTCCGGAGAAGTCATTCGTGCGACCGATCGGATGGGTTTCTAAAAAGGAATCATTTGTCACGACAAGAACAGAGATGGGCAGAGCGAGACATATTTACGAATATTCGGAAATATGGCACGTTCTTTCGAAGATATCGTCTACCTTGGTAATCTGTTCAAGAATATAATTAATATCCTCTCTTTTTTCTTTTTTTTCTGATAAGCGGTTTAATGTGCATTCACGTACCTCGAATGAATCAACTCGACAACTTTCTGTTTGCGCTGCTTTCATTAAATTTCTTATTACTTCCTCTCTTCCTGATTATCGCTTTTATTGTTTATTTGCTTCCGAAATAGTGATTAATCGTTTGCACGAGCTTGACAAACTTAATAGTACTTCCGATATTTCTACTTGACTCTATGTCACTTTTTCATTCTGCCATTAGAAAAATCCGCTTCGATCTCGGGCCGCTCGCATGACTCTTAAAATTAACGAAACATAACAAGACGTGAGATAATTAGATGTCAGCTTTCATCAAATATAGCGGTTCATCTTATGTCGCGAGCGATAATTGCCTTAGTAAATAATCGCGCGATACTTCTATTTCTACACCATTAAAATTCTTACGTGATCATGGGACAGAAACGAACCGTGGTTTTATGGAAAGTAACGTTCATATGCAACGCGATTCACGATTTTTCTACAACTTGAATATAAAGTTGATTACCCCACTCCTTTTCTTTTTCTATAATCCGAAAAGATTTCAGATTCGATATTACAATTGATAACCGTATGAAAGAGTGGTCCCACGGTAAACTGTCCATGCAAATCTTATCTAAATGTTGAAAGAGTTGGTAATATGCACGTTTGGCCATATTTAATTGTAATAACGGCTCTGATAACTACCGATCCGATTCTACTTCCTTCAGGCTGTGCGGTGGAGAATGATCCATGGATTGAATCACAGCTTCCACGTCCTGAGATCTCGCGGAGTCTCTTTTTCGAGCATTTATATCCGCGCCGATTATTGAGATTTCCATTCATCTGATTCGCTGGATATAACATAGATTATTTTGTTGTCCATATAGATTTGCCGATAACAAAAGTGAAAATTAAATTAATTGAAAATTAGAAATAATTTAAATTATTATATTATTATAATTTAAATTATTAACTGAAAATTATATTTCATGGATGGTTTTTAAGTACAATTGAATTGTGTATATTGGCAAAAATAACGAGAATCTATCGAATCTATAGAATCTATCGAGTGTTATCTCTTAATATATTCCGTCTCTTTAATATTTTACATCGTCAACTTGCGGTATAACATTACGATTAAAAAACGAACAGCGCGTATACCCTATCATTCCCTTTCGTCACTTTTTTCCCAGTATTGTTGCGCAGGTGAATGGACAGGATAGTTTCTAAGAAATCGATTGGATCGTTTGTGATTGAATGTCGTGTTGTAAGAAATGAGGTATCATAACCACGTCGCAATAATATCGTGTACAAATATTGAGACGAGTGAGACAACGAGCGAAGCGGATCAAGCAGATCGGTCGTTTGTAAATTGTTTGATAACTCGATATTTTTCAATTATCCTGCTTATCTTTAGCTGATCATCGATTTTCACTATCACACATCGAGTTTCGTCTTCGCTTTAACCCTTATACACACATTTTTTCGAGCATTCTTTTCATTATCAAGTCGCGGAATATTTACGACTGATTTCGCGTGTGCGTATGCGCTCTAATTTCGTTTTAGGAATCATCAACCACACTATCAAATAAATCGTCGTTACTGTCAACGTTGACTCGCATGATGATGTCGGCTGACGCGTTGCAAATTGAAACTCACTTGCATATTTATCAACTCATCCTATGGAGAAATGATTGGTTGAAAAGACGTAGAATTGATGTCTAAAATACCGGTTAATGTTGACCGGTAATATTGATAAAAAATTTGGTACATTAAACGTTTTTCAGTCATTTGGTTTAGACGTTTATAAGATGTTTATTTAGATGTCTATAAGACGTTCATTTATATGTCTATCAAACGTTTATTTAGATATTTTATAAACATTTTATAGACGAACATTTTTTTAAATTAAACTATATATGTGTATATATATAGGGTGTCCGGTATGTTTTGTACATCCGCTTGTGTGCAAATAGAAAGGGTTAAACTGATAGAAGAAGTAGACATCATTATGCAAAATTTGCAATAGTTAACGAGGAATTAATTATTTTGTCTGAGCTAATGACTGCATAAAAAGCGGTAGGCCGAACATATAGAAAGAAAGATATCTTCTACTGACGTGCAATCGTAATATATATATATTATTCATTCTGTTGTCACAGGCGCTCGACTGTCAAAATGACTAACGTTTCCTACGGTTAAGAATGAACATTGCTGCTAACATGAAAAAAATTGTCTTTCCATTGTCAAAATAATGGGATCAAGTCTTCCAAAGAATTAAACGTCCTTAGGTTCTCCTATATACGAACGTGACTCGTTGCGCAGCGGCAGGAAGGAAATTGCATCACACCCGCATGAAGATTGGGACGCGACAAATTTCGGATTCCCACTATCAAGAGCGCGTGCGTGCGTTTTTTTTTTGCAGCATATGCAGTTACGCGAATTCGAAAAGATAAAGAAAGAACGTACGAAAATCAGTACACAAATTTTACGATCGATACTTTCCGTTGTCGCAAATCTCGTGGAGAAAATGTTCTCACTTCGTTTTCCACCAATATTACCGACTCTGATCTGTCTGACTTACAGTCATCGAATAGCGCGGAACTTTTTAACGAACGCAAGAAAGCGAGCAGACCGCTCGCTTTAGGCCTTTTTCTTCTTCTCCTCCTCCTCTTCAGCGATACTCGGTTCTTTTACGGCCATTTACAAATTCCCACTACGATCTCGTAGCGGGATAGCGCGCGGACGTGCACGTGAAACATTCCAATCGCACGCGTGATTTCCACCAAAAAGAAAGTGATACAGCTGTCCGGTGAGCGCGCACACCTCCTTCGTCTTGGACACAACGGTCCTTTCTCCGTCGGTGAAGAAAAAGGGAAAGGTCGATTACTGTTTTATGAAAATTCATTCACACCGATACGCACATACGTACGCATGCACGCACACACACACACGTTTTCTCTCTCTCTCCTTTTCTTCCCCCCTCCCCTCGTCGCACCTTCGCTTGCTCGACGCTCGTTAAAACGACGATCGGGCGCGGCTTCGTATTTTATAGCACTTCGTAAAAAGAACTTCGCCCAGCCCCTTTCAGTTTTCACCGTACGATGCGTACGAAATTCATCGCTCGATTCGAGAGGATGGAACTCTACCGATGCACGAAATAATTACTTCGTTCACAGCGCGCGCGCGCGGTTTTACTCGTCGACGTGATCATAATACGGAGTTTTCCCGCCGTCAATTCTTAACGCACGTTCACATCTGTGGGTGCTCGAGGACTGAGAAATGTCGAGATTCGCACGGACGATAGTGGCACGTTGCGTTCTCACGAAAAGCGAGATATCTCGCAGAGAAATTATTCTCCATTCTATCGCGCATTCTCATCCGGTGGTGCGGCAACGTACAGAAATGTCCGCTCGCTCTCAATATATTCAGCCAACGTTCACCGCGTTCCGATATGCATTGCCAATACCGAAAATTTATAATACATATAATAGAAGCTATAGATTTTTAGTACTAGCAGTAAATTTCGGAACGCAGCCGCTGTCACCAGACTCGAACTCGAGATCCTGATGTGCAATCCCGAAACGCTATGCGACACGACACAACACATTGGTCGCAACCGTGTACTTTCGCATTCAACGTCCGGACTCTTCGTCCTCGTCATGTTCTTTAGGTTTGCTGCTACTTTGATGAATCGTTGCCAATTAATCAATCAATCGAAAATCATGATACACGAACCTAATTGGTGAAATACTCTAATGCAATAATAAAGAAATTTTTTATGCCATTTTGCCTAGGGAATGGGGCTGCATTAATGGTGTCTTCTGTACGCCATCTAAATTTAATTAGTTGCATTTTCGAATTTCGTCAATTATGTATTTTCCTGTGGTTGAGTGGTTCGTTATGTAGCCTTGTAACATTTTCGTGCGTGTTACTTGGTCAACGGTAAAATAGTAACGACGTCGGCAAACGAACGACTAAGCGACGAGTGGACATCGATCGATGTCGTAAAAAGTCCGACGCAAAATTCAACGTTCGTTCAACTATAAGTGTTAATTTTCTTTCTCTTCAAAGTTTTGCAACGGTTACATAAATCGGTCAAAGTTGTCGAAGTTTTATAGCGCTATAAAATTTCGACGTGTATTTCGTATGGATGCGATTTTCCTTCCTCAAATCAGCGTTTCACTAAATTTTCTTGAACGTCGTGTCTCGTCGTTTCTCTCCGCCGTTTGAAAGTTTCTTGCGTTGTAACATGGTAAGCAAATTTTACTTCCTTTTTTCTTTTTTCCTTTTTCGCGTACCTCCTCCGTGCGCCACGCACACTGCAACAAAGCCCGCGTTTGTCTTTGCTCGCAACTCGCCAGTAAATGTCGCGCGGAGTTACTTTGCACGATTTTACATTGTTTTATCCCTTTTTGTACTCCGATTTCATCCTGTGCGGTTGCGCCGCGTCTCATTTTTATCAGCAACCGCTGCGTATTATCTTTATCAGACTTCTCGTCGTGAAACGCTGCACTAACGATTCTTCGGAACTCTAAATACAGCGTTCTTCGCTTCTAATATTACTTCGCTTTCAGTTATCTCTATTTCTTTGTCACCGGATATCTCTTTCCAGATAACATTTACGCGAAATTCATTTGCCTTATACTTTTTTCTCTTTATTCACGGTACATTCTTTCTTTGCACACTTACGCATACTAATTTTCCTCTCATTGTCTCTAATTTTTTCTAATTTTCCTGTCCTTCGAGTTATCGAATAAATCGCTTAAGCGGCTTCGCGCACAAATTGTCATAACTGTAAACATAGGACGTAAATTTAAGCTAAAGAATCAATCAGAATTTAGGTTTGTGAACTGAGGTTTAAGATAAAATCTTTTTGAGAAATTTATATGAAGTATCTTTCCTCTTTAATTTCCTTTGTATTCAAAGAGGGACCAAAATGACTCTTATTGCAACTCTTCTTACCAAACCTTATTTGATAACAAAATACATATTTTTACATTGAAAAAATATTTTTTCAAATGTGAGAATATATATTTTTAAAATCTGTATATTATATATATATATTTATTTATTGTTTTTTAATCTTATATATATATATATTTATTTATTGTTTTTTAATCTGTAACTTTTTATGAAAGCAATTGTTTATTCTATTTAAATGAAAGAATATAAGAATCTAAATAAATATATTATTAGTAACCGAATAAATATTTTTTACTTCTTAGATTTTTCTCAGTATAGTTATTTCTGCTTATGATTGGATTTATCTTTTCAGTTCCATCTTCTTGTAAAATATATAAATTTAAAGTAATATTCTGATTGGTTTTACAGCTTAATATTGGTTTTACTATTATTCTACAGCTTATTATTGGTTTTACATCTCTTACATGTTTACGTTTTTTTGTATGTTTTCATAATGTTTACAGCTATGGAAATTCGTATATGAAAACCCTAATTGTAATTTCACCTGGAGCGTACTTCGCAAAAAAGATAAAGATGACTTGAACATACAATTTTCCACTCATACACGTTTGTTTTTCGTTTCATTCCCGTTCGGACGAGTGCATCCTCGAAGCTCCGGGAGGAGGTGCGTCCCAGGTCTCAGCTGCTGGTTTTCTCGCTCTGGCATATTTTTTTTCGACGTAGGGATCACCACGACGGTGCATAATCACCCGTTTTATCGTAATGTCCAGGTGATGCGTACAGAGGTCCTCTACTTTTTCCTAAAGAGAGAGGGTACCTCCGTCCGCGGATTTTCCGACATCCCTGGCCGGTGTGATGTGCCGTAGTGGTTTCTCCTGCGTCGTCTATCCGTCATTCGTCATGATTCGAGAGAGAAGAGATGCTCCATGTTGAAGAGATTGCTATATTGTAGAGATACGCATCACATCTTATCTCATCGCATCGCTCGAAGATAGAAGTATTGAAAGGCGTCTTTATAGCGTTAGTTAACACATTGACAACGGGACGTTGCGCGCCGCGCTTGACGTGGGTACGGGGCGGTTTTGCGTCTATCGTTTCACTCGGGTAACGTTAGGAAAAATTTATTGTAACTCTTTATTTAATGAATGTTTTGATATTAAAAATATAGAAAATATACTTTCTTGTCTCCGAAAGAAACGTATGCCTTCGCGTCATCCGCACCTAAGTAAAGAACCTAAATGACGCATTTATGCGTAGTCGCTAATATGTTAATAGTCCATTTTATATTCGAGGAATAAAACTATGCACCGATGAGCGTCGTGAGCAGGATGAATCGATTAGTTACATCATATTCGCTCGCGTCGATATAGTTGCAAACCTATGGACATTGAATGCTAACTAAATGTAACATTAACATCAGCTTTGACAAAAACTTGATATTTTCTCCTCCATCAGTTAAAATTTTACGCCACTTTCGAGTCCGCCGTGTTTTAATTTGTAGTAGCTTTCACGACGCACAATTATTTTTGTGCTTAATATCACTATATTGTAGTGGATGTATTAATAATCGGGATAATGAATAACTTGACATGGAAAGGTGAGTTCTCGTGTATCTTAAATCCGAACAAATTATTTTGATGGATGCATTATCACATTGTCTGCATTCAACGGAGAAAATAGCTCGGTGAGCGCTAAATAATTATTGATCACGATTTTCTTGGATCTATCAATAATCTAAAAGAATACTCCATTCACAAATAATAATCAGTAATCTCTTCGCTGTCAAACGAAAAAGAACTTTTCGTGTCAAAAATATATTAGAAAAAAGTTTTCAAAACAGCATAAAAATTTCAGTATAACGGGTTTTTGAGGCTGTTAAATACGAATCTAATATTATATTTTCAAAATTCAAGGTGGCAGATTCAATATTATTATTTGAAAATACGATTTAAGACTCAGTTTCAACAACCTCAAAAACCTTAAAAATAATATTGTAGAAGTATTAAGTGTACAACTTAATTCTCGGTTCCTACATTTAATTAGTTTAATTAATTACAGCATTTATTCAAATTTAAATTTTTTTCTCGCCGTATAGTTATTTTAAAGCACCACTCTTTAGCTTTAAAACGAAGTATAGTAGTTGACGGTGCTGCTAATATAACTTCAAAAAACAGTACTGAAAACAATATCGCTTAAAAAGCAGCATCTATGGTACTGCCTCCTTTTCGCATTTTAACTGAAGAAAAATGCCGTCCAAGTTAAAGAAATGATTTGCTTAGGCTTAGGTGAAAAAGCTGTATCTTATAGCACGTGTAAAAAGTAGTTTGAAAAGTTTCGGGATGGCAATTTCAATCTCCAAGATGAGGAACGCTTTAAACAACCGAAGAAAATTTCAGACGAAAAATTGGAACAGTTTTTGGAAGAAAATTTTTGTCAGACTCAATTAGAGCTTGCAAATGCACTTGCAGTAATACAACAAGCCATTTCGAAACATCTACTAAATAAACTTGGTAAGGTTCAAAAGGCGAGTCGTTGGGTTCCGCATGTGCTCAGTCCTGAAAACAAAGAGAGACATCTCGACACGTCTATGCTTCTGCTATCAAGATTCAAGAAAAAGGACTTTTTGTACAAAATAGTGACTGGTGATGAAAAATGGGTACTCTATAACAATCCTAAGAGGCGAAAATCGTGGGTTTATCCGAGTGAGCCATCGACCAGCATCGTAAAATCAAATATTTACGCAAAAAAAAGTTGCTGTGTATTTGGTGGGATCAGAAATGCGTTATTTATTAGGAGTTGCTCAAACCTGGTGAAACTGTCAATTCTGAGCATTACCAGCAGCAATTGATCAGATTGAGTGACGCACTTAAAGGAAATAGACCTTTCACCGGCGCTGGAAGTAGGAAGGTGATTTTGTTGCACGACAATGCGCAGTCGTATACGGCAAATACAACCTTGTAAGCCATCTCCGACATGTGCTAGGAAATTTTCCCTCATACGTTCCCTCATACATTCTCCAGACTCGTGCCTCCAGATTACCATCTTTTCCGATCCCTGCAGCATCACCTGGTTGATACCCACTTCAAGTCTTCCGAGGAGGTCGACAAAAACATCGACGAGTTTATCAACTCTGAAACCACCATCCTTTTTCCAAAATAGATGTTGCCAGTTACCTGAAAGATGGCAGGAGTGTGTAGAAAATAACGAAGACTATTTCGAAGATTAAAAGCTTATTCGTTTTTTATAAATAAACAACATACTTTTTTTAGAAAGACCGAGAATTAAATTACACGCCTAATAATATCTGATATGCAAATGTTACAGTGAAAGTATTGACGACGTCTGTATTATGTCCACATACACCCAGTGAAAGTATATCCCAGTGAAAAGGTGACTGGCTCTATCTTCAAGCTGCTTGCAGCACCATCTCTGAATTAACACGTGCGTTATGTAGTGACATATTTTACTATCATTACCAAAAGCGTGTCTGGTTTATAAGTTACATGAAATGTGACAGTACGAGGGCAAATTAATAAGTACCCGTGATAGTAATGAAGATGCAAGTTTTTCACAAAAATTTTTTTTTATTTTTTAACGTAATTCCCTTTTAGGAGGATACACTTTTTCCAACGCCCCTGCGTCAAAAACAACTCGAAACGAAGAAAACGTGCAAAAAGTGGAAGGTCTCCGCGCCCTTTGTGCCCCACTCGTTGACGAACAACCAAAAAGATGCCAGAGTAGAGCACTGCAAAGACAAGCAAAGAACGATAATTATGGGTCCGGAATTCATATCAAACATCGTAACGGGTGATAAAACGTAGTGTTTTTAATATAAGCCATCAACCAAGCGTCAGAGTGATGAATGAAAATCGCCTGAAGAAGGAGAACCAAAAAAATTGCGAATGTAAAAAAGTCGAATCAAAATATTGCTTATTATTTTCTTCGCTCCCAAAGGCATTATTCATCACGAATATATTCATGGTCAGACGATAAACGGCAACTACTACTTGGGTGTTATGTATCGTTTGTGGGCTAAAATTTCATGCAATCGATCTGAATACCGCGAGGTTCTTGGTCGTTATTGCGCTGGCTCGATAATGCACTGGGTCACAAAGCCAAGGTTATACGCAATTTTTGGCCAAAAAGAGCATTATGATGCTTAAACATCCGCCGTACTCGTTTAATTTAACTCCTTGTGACTTCTGGCTATTCCCAAAACTAAAATTGGCCATGAAAAGATCACGTTATGATTCAATTTAGGACATCCAAAAGGTTTTGACAAAATTTCTAAAGGCAATTCCGGCAGAGGTCCTTCAAGGACTGCTTCAAAAAAGTCTTACGATCGTTTCCAGCAGTGTATTGACTCACAGGGAGTCCATTTTGAATAATAAATAATAAATAAATAATAATAAATAATAAAAACGAAATATGAATAACGTCTTGTATTTCATTTGACATCAGTCATCTTTTCACTAGGACATACTATATATATCTAACACCGTGGTTTCTAACCACGCTCTAAATAACGATAATTTCCCTTCGATAGAGAGCGGGATTTAGAAGCAATTCAATAAAAAAATCTTTTTTATTTTTTATGTATGTCAAATATTTTATAAATTTTAGTTTGCCATGATAGATGCGCTGTTTCGAATTTTTAGATTATGGTATCAGATTCGAATTCAACGACTTGAGAAACCTTCAGATACTTAAGTACAATCAAGTTATAATAATATAAATATGTTTTTTTCAAGATGTGCATATAAGCGTCATGAAGCAAAAATGGCACGACTTTTTTCGCGCATATGTGCATCACTGACAGTGAAGAGGTTAACCATTGACTTACTTTCTTTTTTTGCAGAACGTAACCACACATTAATTATGTCCAGGAAACACACAGTTGAGTGTACGCTCACTCTCATTGAGGAATATTCTTTCAGATCTACTATTGATTTAGAAAAATACATCAATCAAAGGTGATAATAATTCAACGATTGCACATCTTTGTGTTTTCTGAACGCACCCATTGTCAAACATATTATCTACCTATGATTTGAATTGATTCTCTCCCTAACAACCATAATCGGCTTTTACTGGCCTGACGTCTCCTTATTGGTTGTATACTTTAAGAACCTTGTTTACATGTTCTATTATATTATAGTTTATTTTCGACTCTGGCGTGTAATAATTTCGATAATATTGTGACTTATTCCGCGTTTCATGACAATTTATCTTACTTGTACGCGATAAAACTCTTAATCCGACAGTTCACATCCACGCGAAACAATTGTAATAATCTTATCGACCATGACCGACTATAGAGAAGGATTGATTAAATCGCCCGAGCCCAGCGGACTTAAATAAACTCGTTTCGAGCCGGAATCCGCTTATGTCTCATTTCGTGTCCCGAGTTCACGTCTCGTTTATTTCTCGGAGATACCTATATGTGGCCTCAGCTCGCGTGACTTCCGGCACGTGTACCTGATCGTGTAATCCGTGAAAGATAATTAACACGTTCGTTACACCTCCTATCTCCTTCTCTCTTCTTCCCGTTCTCTCTTCTTCGGTTTGCACCGTCAAAGAAGCTCGCGAGCGCGCGCCCCTTTGGTCCGTTTGATGCGTAATAAATGATCACACGGTACACGCGGCTTGTTTTTCCAATATAGCAGTAGTCCTTCATCGATGAGTGCTTTAATAGCGCAATATCTTTATAACATCTTTGTAATGTTTTCGTTGTCCTTGCCATGTGCTTATTAACTCGGGAATAGTCAACTTAATTTTTTTTACAATTACCTTAAACGATCATATGGAATCATTTTATGTTCCAATTAAAAACCGCTATTGTTAACAAAATATAATATATTTTCGATTGTTCTATGATTTATTATTGTTTGGGAACATTGTAGATATAGATTTACTCACTACTTTTTGAAAAAATTGAGAAATTAAACAAAATATTTAAAAAACGGAATAAGCACATCAAGTGTTTTGTTATGACAGTATTTCTAATGAATGAAAGAAAATATCAACTTAAAAAACGCTGTTTTATTGCTTATTTTTAATGAGAAAAGATATTTAAAGGTTCATGAAGAATAATTATTAAAAAAAAATTGAAAATGTATTAAATAACATTCATTTTATAAGAATGTAAAATGAGACTAAATCGCGGTCATACAGACGCGGTCAGAGAGTTACTAGTATTGATTGTAAAAAATTATTTATTTTTATATTTTTTATTGTATTATATAAATATATAACATAATAAAGATTTTTAAAGAAAAAAAAATTTAAAATTTTTAAGAATATAGATTTTGTTATATTTAACATTTACTAAAAAATGTAATTTAAAATATTTATTTTATTTATAGTAAATGTTAACTATATGTGTTAATTATAGCATATTATAATATAAATATTAGATATATAATAATTGCATTTCTTGACCTATTTCTCCGGACATTTTTATCGATCAGTATCAGATGTAATGTAAATATTACTTAATGTTTATTAAGTATAGATATACATAATTTCATTATTATTATTATTTTAAACTTATTAATATGTTGTATTCATAATACGAACTTTTGCCATGCTTAAGTAATTTTGTAACGTGAACGATCATTTGGGTTCGTCTTGTATCCCAATAAGTTTTTACTGGCTTATACTATGAACAAGACGGGTAACAGCTAATTATTTTTGTATAGATTAGATTTTTAAATGTCCAAATGAAAGGCAGGTAAGTATGGGTTTCCTATCAGTAAAAAAACCCATTGCGATGTGAGCTTCATTTTCTGATTGTTGAGGTCTGAAATGACCCTATGGTGATTATTCCAGAATTAATAACACGAACGCGCGAAACGATACTTTTCGTTATATTTGATCAATGACGAGAATTAGGAAAAAAGGCGCATGTGTCATATTTTGTTAATATAGCGTGTCTCTGTGCGTGGTCTATATTGAAAGAAAATATAATTTATTGAAGCATGTGCATAATTTAATTTGCTATTTGAATGCAGCGCAACATGTGTATGTTAAATCGGGTTGTTTGTTTCAATGATGTAAATTGTTAACTTCTGTTCTACAATTTCTAATTGAGATTATTATCGATTATGTCACGTACAAAAATATTATGCGATCGAATAAATCGTATGCGACAGAAAGCACAACATAGTCAAGGTCAAAACTGTCTCGAATCGAAGAGAATCAACATCCTGCATTAGCTTCGTGTATCAGATGCTGATTCTTAGAGATATCTGTTGAGAAACATCTAATTACTTTCACGCACAGGCCTAAATCTCTGATTGCCACAAAAACGCATAGTTTATTGACGAAAGTCAATTATTCCGACTTTGCGTTCGTCGATCTAAAGCAAGTCGCCCAACATTAGCTACGCTTCGAAACCCGTAATTACTAACGCACCGTCGGTAAATTAACTCTATCATTTAGTGCGCATTTAGTTACTATCAGTACTGAACTTTTATCGCGGAAAATTTGTTATATGATAAGTAGTTATATGACATGTAGATAAGTATGTCAATAACGGTCCATAATCGGTACATACACTAAAAAGAAAACGTTCTAAAAATTCTAGAAAAATCTGATCTAAGGATGTCTGCGTGTTCCGTGAACAAAAATAATATTATTTCCAAAATAACGGGGTTTTCCAAAAAAAAAAACGTAGAAAAGAACTGGGTTTTTTCCAGAGGTAATTTTTCCGGAAATTTAAGAACACTGGACGAGGTCGAGCACACAACTCGTATGAGTGAACTAGCTGAAATCGCCTCGTGGCAGAAAGAGAGACGGAGCAGAGCGGCACAAATTTACGATAATACGTGGATGAGATTTGCAGTGTGTCGCGTTAGCGCGACAGCGTGAACGAGTTTCGTTTTACGGATAAACGCATATACGTCACACGGCTCGCTTGGCTCGGCGCGATCGGAGCCAAGAATGCATTGGCCTGCGAGCAGTCATATACACTAAATATTTTGATTGGCGATATTATATAGGAAGGCCGATTTTCACTGAACGTTTGTGAACACGGACAGCGACTTTCGTATAAGACTCGTAGCCAAGCCCAGGCGGGTCGAGACGAGTTAACGTGAAAATTAGTAGGACACGATATTCCTGGTCGGCCTCGCCGTAGAAACTTTAACGCCTCTTTCTCCTCTCTCTCGAGAATACATCTTCCAACTCCTTTGACGAAAGCCGTACTTTTATTTATCAGCCGATTCATTGCTTTACGTCTGCCCATACACGTCGGCAGGGAAATACAAACGCGCGACCTCCGACGCGTTTTCTACCGAAAGTAAATTTCTCTTTGCGCTTCACCTCAAGCTTCCCTCCGCCGAAGCATACCACGTCAGCACGTCGTTCCTTTCGTTGTTATTGTTATTATTATTCTTTAAGATCGGCAATTACGACATCGATCGGTCATCGTTCGATATAAAGCTGTTTCAGCGATGTCATAAACACACACACACACACACATACACACGCGCGCGCGCACGCACACGAAATTCTCTCTCTCTCTCTCTCTCTCTCTGTCGCTCTCGTACTCGAACTTTTTTTATCTTTTTGCGAGTTGCGAAGAACTCTCCTCTCCCCCATGCTCGTTACGCAAAATTGACTTATTTGTAAGCGATCGTATCGAGCGTAGGTGGAAGCGAGAGACGACGACACGGTCGGCAGAAAAAGCAGTGATTAAACGTTCCTGCTATGAAACGCAGTCTGAATTACGTTAATCAGCAGCATCTTATATGTCGAGCAAAAAGTCTCGCCGCCGATGAGTGTTTTGTCACATTCTTGTTTTATAATTTATGTATGAGATATTACCTAACTGTGCGCCATCGTCTGCATCTTATTGAATACAATAATAAATTGCGCACTCGAAACGGCACACTATACGGAGCGGCTTAATCTTCAACGGCTCAGTTTTTCGATATCGCGCATTTTTGTTTGATCATCCTCATCATCGAGAAGAAACATAAAGGCTCATGTTTATTGATAATGCTTAATCGAGATCGATCGATCGATAATGGTTATGTAAAGTGTTCTTATTTCGGCACAGAGAATTATACTTTTCCACAATTTGTACCTCGTTATCCATAGATACAGTCTTTCGGGCAGAGATATAAGCATTGTAACTGAACGAAGATAAGAGCGTCTTTTTTATCTTTCTAGGTTAACGTTGTTGGTTATTGCATGCACGATAATCGTTAGGTCGGAGCGCCGAAAGATTTATTAGTTACCTGGTAACACGCGACTAGAAAGTTGTTCGTGTTCCGATCGATGTACCTAACATATAAATCGAAACATATAAATTGTCCGTCGGTCGACTGGCCACAACGTTAGTTTCTTTTTTATTGTCTTAAATTCCATATTTGCGAGAGAGCACGATGCGATACTTTCAGCGTGATAGATCGCTCAAGCGTGAATAAGAATGTGTTATAATTCGCAAACATGAATTTGCAGTGTTATGAACCGTAAGCGAGCACGTTA